TGCATAGGGCCTGGAGGGATAAATAAAATTTGAACAAGTAGCAGAGAAAGAAGTGACATTTCAGGTGGAGCATGAGCAAAGGCAGAGAGGTATGAGGGTGAACTGGGCAGGGCCAGCATCTGGTAGGGCTGGGATGAAGGGCACAGAGAAGACTTGGGTGTGAAGTAGGTATGGCAGGAATGGCTTTGAGGGCATGCAAACCTCAGCCATCAGGACTAGCAATGACCTGGGATATCTGAGGAGTGCAGCTACTTGATCTATTCCAGGTGAACGGAAGACAGCTCTACTGATTGTTTGAAGGTGAGGTAGCGAGGCAGGAAGATTAGTGGATACTCATAATAACTAACATTTATTGAGCACTCAGTTTCCAAGCACTAGGCTAAGTATGTCATTTGCATACTCCTATTTAAGTACCATTCTTGCACGTTCTTATTGTCATTCCCATATTACAGCTGGGTAGTGGCAGAAATCATACACTAAGTGCACAGGCAGGCTTTGACCCCAGGCTATTCTAACTGCAGAGCCTGAGTGCTTAGCCAGGGTGACCATTGTACTAGAGTCCTGTCCACATGGCAATAGTTCAGCCTAGAAATACAGAGGTGCTGCATGAAGACAAGCGCCGTGGATGGAGGGCACAGAATGGATACATTAGGATCAAAAGAAGACTCAGGGCTGTGACTTGGAGAAGTGTAAGACTGGAAGTAAGGAAGGATAATAAATTCTGCTTAGACCCATCGCACTCCGAGTGGTTAGAAAGGAAAACTCCTGGGACCGTAAACAGTCACTGAGTGCTGGTGTCCAGGGATTGAAAGGACCACACACGGACATGTGTTGATTCTTGCACAAGAAAATCAGGCAGTATATGAACAAACAAGGCAAAAAAGCAAGTAGCTGCCTGGGTGAGCTCTAATGAACTGACTTGGAAGAAAAAGTCAACTTGATTGACTGGTCTGCATTATATTGATAGCAGTAAATCCCTTTGGCCAAACAGAATGTGGTTCAATTTTTAAAGTATGGCATGCATTATCACTTTGCATACCAAAATATTCATATATCTTGGGAGAGTATAAAAAATATGTTTTTCCTTTCAGAGTGGAATGTAAAATACCCACCAAATCCTCCAGGATGGTGCCTGGGTAAATGTATTCCTTGTTATTTCATTCAAGCTGCTAAATATCTATTACAGTAAAATTATGGGCTCTTCGCATGTGGAGTTTCCACTTGTAGTTCCTGAGTACCAAAGAAATGAACGCGCTTTGGAACTCTCTGTTCTGTAAGGCAGATCTGCCTCATGCCTCTGACTGCCTAGCAAGTGGTCAAAGGTCTACAAGAAACTGTTTCCTCTGTGTCCTAAACCAGAGGGATTCACAGAGCCTAAAAGGTAGCTCAGATCTTGGGTGGATATAATGAAAACCAAAGCCATCTGCTGATGTTAGACTTTCTTTGGAAAACCTCAAGACACTGACATTTAAAACTGTCTAAGCATGTCACCCTGTGACCTTCACTCTGACAAAGGGTCTGCTCTCTCCAGAAATGACCTTCCTACTTTATGACTCCTTTCCAAGTAAGCTCCTTCCACTTGCTTACCATGAGTATTTCAAGTAGTTCAGGAGAGTCTCCTGCATCCTTTGCTAAGCAATGAAGAGAAGTGGAAGGGGGTACAATTCAAATGCTTAAAAAAAAAACTCCTCTTCCCTTTATTCAGCTGTACACTTTCTCACCACATACAGTGAACAAATACAAGTAAGACGTTAAGATCAGCAGCTTTATCAAAGCACAGAGCTGTCAGGTTAAGGGGGAAGATTTTTGCCAAATCAGAACACATAAACTTTTAGTATAGAAACTAGAATATGAATTAAGCTCATATCACTCAAAAAGAGCTGAATGCATATGAAACCAAAGTACACTGTCAGCCACCTCCACTTGCTCCAGGCGCTGATGCCTCGATTAGCTATGCAAGAAGCTACCTGCTATTTTAGAATTATATGAAGTCACCTCAGGGTATCTACAAGCTTCTCACGCACAAGATACTGACTTTTTTTTTCCTGTTGCTTCTTGGCTTAGAGCACAGTCGTTGCTACATCCAGGTAAGTACTATATCATGGATTGTTATTGCATAAACTGTCATTAAGGCAGCTTGCCTTCTCACAAAAGAATCGGTCTGCAAACAATAATGGTTTGTTGCTAAACCCCCCTAAGACTAAAAGACACTTAGCATTATTTTTCAGGTAGTAAGTATTCCCCTAAAAGATTAGAGAGCCCAGAGCTTAATTTCTAAAGAGGATTTTTCTTTTTTTTAAATAATAGAGAACATTCCCTCCACCCCATTTTTTTTTCAAATAAATTACCTTCCCTC